CACCCCCCGCGCCAAAACCAAAGGGAATGGAAGCAAATACTATTGAATGATGATGCACGAGGAGAAAGCAATGAAGCAATGAGTGTAAAACTGATGTTCTCTCATGTAAACTATCATTCAATTCACAATAAAAACTTAAAAATAAATAAATGAGTGTAGACCCACTATTTGAAGACACCGGAGAGTAATCAAAATTACACAGAAACAGGAGGAGCGTCCTCGGCTTGAAAGAGGAACTAGAAGGTGTGAGATTTGTAAGACTGCAGCCTTTAGTCCTCAAGAACTAAGCTGTTTCTACACCTCCAGTAGAAAAAAAGCAGAAGTTTCATGGGTTGGAGGTGTTAGAGGACAGAGTTCAGAGCAGGCTGCTCAGCTTGAAAGATCACAGGGGAGTTGTGGAGCCATAGCGAAGGCAAACCCCAATGTCTGCATGCCAAATCTACCCAACTCCTTGGCTAACAAAGCTGTGTATGTTGAGGGAAGACCCCAAGAGACCTGGTGAGAAAGCAGCAGTTGGGATTCTAAAGAATTGAGCAGAGATTCCAGCTGTTGCCCATCACAGGGAAGACAAACTTGGGAGTTAGAGCCCAGCCCACTTAACTGCCTGCTAGACTATAACACACTCCTCAGAGGGAGCGAGCACAATACAGTCTCTACAGTGTATCCTGCATAGTGTCTAGCATCCAAGGAAAAAGCCACTTGACAGAAGTCACAGAAAAATAGGAGTCACAGTCAAGGGGAGTGGGAGGGAGAATCAATAGAAACTAATCCTGTGAATGTGTAGAGAGAGGAAAAGAGAGGACGAGAGGAAGTGTTGACTCCAAAGCTGTTGAGCTGCTGGAAGCTGGAGTGGCCATCAAGTGCAATGGGGAACATAGTAGAGAAGCAGGTTTGAGAGGAGATCAGGATCTCAGTGTCGGATTAAGTATTATTAGGTGCCTTTGAAACTCATAGCGAACAACAGAACAGAAGCTCTGCCTGGTCCCGCACCATCCTCACAATTGTTGTTGTGTTTAGGCCTATAGTTACAGCCACTGTGTCAATCCATCTCACTGGAGGTCTTTCCTCTCTTTTGCTGACTGTAGTTTACCAAGATGGTGTCCTTGTGCATGGCTTGGCCCTTCTTGATAACATGTCCAACTTCCTCACTTCTAATGGGCATTCTGGCTGAACGTCTGCCAAGTCACACTTAGACCTTAAATACGTAGTTGGATACATGAGATTACAGAGAAGGAGAGAGTTCTCAGCTGGAGAAAGACATGTAATATCAACATGTAAGAGTCATTAGAGTTTAGCTGTAGCTCATAACCTTGGACATAAGTGAGAGATCAAGGAAGTGAGTGTAGACAGAGAAGAGATTTTGGAGTTGGAGAACAAGTTTGAGCTTAGATGTCACACAGCCCTGGATTGAAATTCTGTTTCAGACACTGACTATGTGACCTCAGACAAGGAGTTATCTTTCTCTGAGCCTTGGTTTGCTCATCTTAGAAACAACATAATATTTGAACACCTCTCTCTTCCTCTTCCACCTCCAGGTCATCACAAAGCCCTTTTGGTTTTGCCTCCATAAAGCCCCTCTTCACTTCTCCACTCTGTCTCCAGAGTCCCTCTCCCAAGTGCCCAGCACCTTGCCTTCTACACTTGCTTCCTATGAGCCACACCACACGAGAATGATCTTTCAAAAGTTTAAATTTGAAAGCCCTCTGTTAGCTCCTCATTGCACCTGGGATGAATACAAGGGGGCGTCAAAGAGTTTGTGGAAAAATCTCATAATCTTTCATTCCATTTTCCACAAACATTTTGGAGTCCCTCAACACGGATGACAAGGCATGAATGCCTCTTATTTTGTCAATATCTCCAGACTCCCCCACATGTCGCTTTCCTGGGCTCATTGTATTTCAGCCTCCTGGCCTTTCTCTCCATCACTGAAGGTCACCATTCTCCTTGAAACCACAAGACCTTTGGATTCACTGCTCCTTCTGCCTGGAGTAATCCTTCCTTTCTTCTGCTGGTTTTGTTTTTTTTTGTAAATAAAAATTCGTTCTTGAGATCTCACTGTAAATCTCACTTCCTCCAAGTAAACCTTCTCTGACCACTCTGACTACAGAAGACCTTCTTATAAAAGCTTTCTTTCCATCATGAGATTATCATCATTATCACTTATACTCGTGCTTGCTGGATTCTTTCATTCACATCTATCTTCTCCCATAGACTCTGAGCTCCATAAATGTAGGCCAGTGTCTGACTTCTTCACCAGCCCCAAAACATAGAAGGAAACTTGGACAGAAGATTAAAAGTAGACTAAATATTTGAAGACACTGGAGAATGATCAAAATTATATAGAACAATGAATGACTAACAGATGATTGAGTTGTGGAGAACAGCTTTTCTTTGTCACTTAGAAGATAGATTAATTCAGTTCGACTAAAAATATGCACTGATTCCCTATTGTATGCCAGATATGGGGGATACCGCAGTGATGGAAACAGCCAAAGCTCCTTTCCCTGATGGAATTCACACCCAAGCAGATGAGGAAGTTCTCCACCAAGAAGAACTGTCCCAGAACTTTTATTCGTCTTGTATGTTCCTGGTGATGCATTCTGTTAAAAGCTCAACAACTAATTGAAACGTTGGCAATTCAAACCCACTCAGAAGTACAGAGGAACAAAGGTTTGGTGATCTGCTTCCAAAAGACCACAGCTTTGATAATTAATTCTATAATCCACAGCTCTACTCAAAAATACATGGCATCACCATGAGCTGGAATCAACTCAATGACAACCATCTGTTAAATATGTATATCCCGGCTATGTCTCAACTTCCTTCTTTCTTGAGACGCCCCCCCCCCCCCCCATCCTCCAATCTCTAGGACCCATCCAGCAATCCCAAACCCCATGTCACCTTTCTGGAGTCCAAGAGTGATAGAGCAAGGAAGTACTGTCTGTCTCCATCTGTCCCAGGAATCTGCTAGCCTAGTGCCCAGACCAGGGTTAGGGGGCATATGACAGGAAATTGACTAGTGAGTTTTGAAACAGATAAGGGTCCAGGAAAGTGTTGAGAAAGAGTGGTGATGGCCTGAAAGATTGATATCAGTCACTGAAGCATCACCAGATGTGGGTCTTGATAGGTAGATTCTGGGGGTTGGGAACTCGGAGGGGGAGGGGTGCCTAGTCAGGAGACAGGTTCCAAGGA